GTTCAAATGGTCAAAGTCATTGCTTAGCAACGGCGTCTCAGCGGAGTTATACAGTGTTTGTGAAAAAAATGTGCTGTTATGGTGAAATAACAGCACCGGTAGAATGTTTCTCAACCAATCAGCTTGTGTCGCCGGAACTAACTGTTGTATGAAGGCAAGTGAGCTCTCTCATTGGTTAGGACTTTAGAAGCTGAGCTGAAGGCCTAATGCATCAGATTAACCACCAACAAGTGGAATCAACTAATCATGTTCTGTTTTGCAATGAGTGGAGCCAATTTATTGAGGAAAAAAGGTCATCTGGAAGTCCAACATTCATTAATGACCATAAATACATTGTGAAAATGAGCCGTAAACTAACTAGGTTGACAGCTAAACTAGCTATCAAACTAGCCCAAAGAGCCCAACCGCCAATTTAAACAATTTCTATAAACACTTTTCTAACTATTTTTATAAAAACAACAAAAAGCAACAGGATGATAGAAAATATGAAAATGTGTGATGTCGTGGGGACATCTGGCTATCATCCCATATGTGCATGTGTTGGCATTCATTTAAATATTAAAAAAGGCACATTTAAATTTAGGACATATATTTTAAAACAGCACATATTGCGCATATATGCACATATGTTTTAACATTAGAAAATAATTTATACATTTATTTTTCTTATAAATGGGACCCCACAATGTCTGAAATACAAACATGTGAGTGTGTATGCATGCGTGTGTGTGAGCACGTGTGCGAGAGAGGGTGGACCAGGCTCATTACAGGAGCCGAGCTGGGGCTGAGCGGTCAAGATGACTCAGCACGTTTAATATATGTTCGTTTGTGTGTGAGTAATCAAAGATTTTACAGCTTTCCTCTGAGCTGGCCACTCATTCACGCTCCTCATTTCTCTTTCTTCTTCCCACTGTGTGAAAGTCATCCTTTCCCTTCCCTGAGATCAAAACCATATGCGTGCTGTGTCACTGCTTCTCCACGACTGTAAGCACTTTCAACATTTCCTGCATCGCCTTCACAGGGTGTTCTCGCTTAGTCACCACTACCACACACACTCCAAACTCCTACACTACAAACGCAGCGCAGGAAGGAATCTACTACCATTAATGATAATACACCAACACGGGTCACGCCAGGATCAGAAATGAATGCATAGGAATGCTGTTTTAAAAGAGATTTCGAATTGACTCTTCAAATTGGTTTATCAGTCTACGCAGGCTTTAGCAGAGCTCAGTAACGCTGAGATGAATGACTGATCACATTGATTTATCAGTCTACTCAGGCTTTAGCAGAGCTCAGTAACACTGAAATTAATAACTGATCATCATATTGATTTATCAGTCTACTCAGGCTTTAGCAGAGCTCAGTAACACAGATTAATAACTGATCACATTGATTTATCAGTCTACTCAGGCTTTAGCAGAGCTCAGTAACACAGATTAATAACTGATCACATTGATTTATCAGTCTACTCAGGCTTTAGCAGAGCTCAGTAACACTGAGATTAATAACTGATCACATTGATTTATCAGTCTACTCAGGCTTTAGCAGAGCTCAGTAACGCTGAGATTAATAACTGATCACATTGATTTATCAGTCTACTCAGGCTTTAGCAGAGCTCAGTAACGCTGAGATTAATAACTGATCACATTGATTTATCAGTCTACTCGGGCTTTAGCAGAGCTCAGTAACGCTGAGATGAATGACTGATCACATTGATTTATCAGTCTACTCAGGCTTTAGCAGAGCTCAGTAATACTGAGATTAATAACTGATCATCATATTGATTTATCAGTCTACTCAGGCTTTAGCAGAGCTCAGTAACACTGAGATTAATAACTGATCACATTGATTTATCAGTCTACTCAGGCTTTAGCAGAGCTCAGTAACGCTGAGATGAATGACTGATCACATTGATTTATCAGTCTACTCAGGCTTTAGCAGAGCTCAGTAACACTGAGATTAATAACTGATCACATTGATTTATCAGTCTACTCAGGCTTTAGCAGAGCTCAGTAACGCTGAGATTAATAACTGATCACCACATTGATTTATCAGTCTACTCAGGCTTTAGCAGAGCTCAGTAACACTGAGATTAATAACTGATCACATTGATTTATCAGTCTACTCAGGCTTTAGCAGAGCTCAGTAACACTGAGATTAATAACTGATCACATTGATTTATCAGTCTACTCAGGCTTTAGCAGAGCTCAGTAATACTGAGATTAATAACTGATCATCATATTGATTTATCAGTCTACTCAGGCTTTAGCAGAGCTCAGTAACACTGAGATTAATAACTGATCACATTGATTTATCAGTCTACTCAGGCTTTAGCAGAGCTCAGTAACGCTGAGATGAATGACTGATCACATTGATTTATCAGTCTACTCAGGCTTTAGCAGAGCTCAGTAATACTGAGATTAATAACTGATCATCATATTGATTTATCAGTCTACTCAGGCTTTAGCAGAGCTCAGTAACACTGAGATTAATAACTGATCACATTGATTTATCAGTCTACTCAGGCTTTAGCAGAGCTCAGTAACGCTGAGATTAATAACTGATCACATTGATTTATCAGTCTACTCGGGCTTTAGCAGAGCTCAGTAACACTGAGATTAATAACTGATCATCACACTGATTTATCAGTCTACTCAGGCTTTAGCAGAGCTCAGTAACGCTGAGATTAATAACTGATCACATTGATTTATCAGTCTACTCAGGCTTTAGCAGAGCTCAGTAACGCTGAGATGAATGACTGATCACATTGATTTATCAGTCTACTCAGGCTTTAGCAGAGCTCAGTAATACTGAGATTAATAACTGATCATCATATTGATTTATCAGTCTACTCAGGCTTTAGCAGAGCACAGTAACACTGAGATTAATAACTGATCACATTGATTTATCAGTCTACTCAGGCTTTAGCAGAGCTCAGTAACGCTGAGATTAATAACTGATCACATTGATTTATCAGTCTACTCAGGCTTTAGCAGAGCTCAGTAACGCTGAGATGAATGACTGATCACATTGATTTATCAGTCTACTCAGGCTTTAGCAGAGCTCAGTAATACTGAGATTAATAACTGATCATCATATTGATTTATCAGTCTACTCAGGCTTTAGCAGAGCACAGTAACACTGAGATTAATAACTGATCACATTGATTTATCACTCTACTCAGGCTTTAGCAGAGCTCAGTAACACTGAAATTAATAACTGATCATCATATTGATTTATCAGTCTACTCAGGCTTTAGCAGAGCTCAGTAACGCTGAGATTAATAACTGATCACATTGATTTATCAGTCTACTCAGGCTTTAGCAGAGCTCAGTAACGCTGAGATGAATGACTGATCACATTGATTTATCAGTCTACTCAGGCTTTAGCAGAGCTCAGTAATACTGAGATTAATAACTGATCATCATATTGATTTATCAGTCTACTCAGGCTTTAGCAGAGCACAGTAACACTGAGATTAATAACTGATCACATTGATTTATCACTCTACTCAGGCTTTAGCAGAGCTCAGTAACACTGAAATTAATAACTGATCATCATATTGATTTATCAGTCTACTCAGGCTTTAGCAGAGCTCAGTAACACAGATTAATAACTGATCACATTGATTTATCAGTCTACTCAGGCTTTAGCAGAGCACAGTAATACTGAGATTAATAACTGATTACATTGATTTATCAGTCTACTCAGGCTTTAGCAGAGCACAGTAATACTGAGATTAATAACTGATTACATTGATTTATCAGTCTACTCAGGCTTTAGCAGAGCTCAGTAATACTGAGATTAATAACTGATTACATTGATTTATCAGTCTACTCAGGCTTTAGCAGAGCTCAGTAATACTGAGATTAATAACTGATTACATTGATTTATCAGTCTACTCAGGCTTTAGCAGAGCTCAGTAACACAGATTAATAACTGATCACATTGATTTATCAGTCTACTCAGGCTTTAGCAGAGCTCAGTAACACTGAGATTAATAACTGATCACATTGATTTATCAGTCTACTCAGGCTTTAGCAGAGCTCAGTAACACTGAGATTAATAACCAATCACACTGATTTATCAGTCTACTCAGGCTTTAGCAGAGCTCAGTAACACTGAAATTAATAACTGATCATCATATTGATTTATCCGTCTACTCAGGCTTTAGCAGAGCTCAGTAACACTGAGATTAATAACCGATCACACTGATTTATCAGTCTACTCAGGCTTTAGCAGAGCTCAGTAACACTGAAATTAATAACTGATCATCATATTGATTTATCAGTCTACTCAGGCTTTAGTAGAGCTCAGTAACACTGAGATTAATAACTGATCACATTGATTTATCAGTCTACTCAGGCTTTAGCAGAGCTCAGTAATACTGAGATTAATAACTGATTACATTGATTTATCGGTCTACTCAGGCTTTAGCAGAGCTCAGTAATACTGAGATTAATAACTGATTACATTGATTTATCAGTCTACTCAGGCTTTAGCAGAGCTCAGTAACACTGAAATTAATAACTGATCATCATATTGATTTATCAGTCTACTCAGGCTTTAGCAGAGCTCAGTAACACTGAGATTAATAACTGATCACATTGATTTATCAGTCTACTCAGGCTTTAGTAGAGCTCAGTAACACTGAGATTAATAACTGATCACATTGATTTATCAGTCTACTCAGGCTTTAGCAGAGCTCAGTAACACTAAGATTAATGATTGATAAGCACATTGTTTTAAGAGTCCCGTTCCATCCCATACCTATACCCTATATCCTATACCTATATTCCATACCAATCTATTCTATTAAATTCTATTCCATTCTGTGACAATTTTAGGAAAGACTGATCCAAAATTGTAAGTTCTTCCTGCAATTTAATTACACTAATTTGTACAGCATACTTTACAGATACTGTTCCACAGCAGATCAAACAGAGCCGTACCCCACAAAGACAAGAACACAAACTCTGTGTGCGCGTGTGACTTACATTGCTTTCTGGGACACTTCTGGCATTTGTGGAATCCCCAGGATGTGCCCATGGTTCCACAACAGTCCTCCTGCTTGGAAAGGCCTGGGAGGGCTTTTCCACACTGCAACATAAACACAACACAAGAACGTAATTTCGTGTTAATATCAATTCACTCCATACGTTTAGATAATGTAGATCATACATTATAACAGAGCACGGCCAGGCAACACAGACACATTCTTTATTATATTCCAAACACTCCAAACAGGCCATAATATACATAAAAATACGCTCATACACACAGAAATGCACACAACACTTGATATGTTACTGTAGTTGCTGACTGCTTCTTATCTACCCAGAGCAAAATGAGCGGCAGCAAATTGAATAAAGATCTGTGGGTGATAACGGACAGCAGTGACCAGAGATGCAAGCGAAGTCTGCTAACACTACAAGCAGAGACATCATAGCGACACGGCCACATCAAGACAGTCCAATCGTTATGGCGACAATTATATCTTCACGTCTCTTGATATAAACGCAAACACACTTGACAAATGCAAACAAGTCGATAAATCTCAGCATGTCCGCTGCGAGGCAGGGCTGTTTCAGTGTTTACGTTGGAAACAGTGTTTGTTATCGATGAATGTGAGGATGATAACTGAATGTTCTGGAAGTGGTGGGGTCGACCTGCCACAATGAAAAGGGGTTAGCGACTTTGTTTTGTTAAAGCACGGAGTTTGGTGAGAAAGTGAAAAATCAAATATGCACAATTTTTGCCTTTACTCCGAACAAAGCAAAGACACGTCTGGTGCCGAATGCTTTCTACTGATTTTGCACTGGAGCTATGAGCTTGCGTAGCTGTTGTAATTCTGACCCTACAAATTAGTGTGGACAAAAATAAGGACAAGATTTGGCAACTCACTTCTTTCGAAAGCCAATTCTATTTTATGCAATGGGTTTTATCCGTTTTGTAAATAACACTGAGATTAATAACTGATCACATTGATTTATCAGTCTACTCAGGCTTTAGCAGAGCTCAGTAACACAGATTAATAACTGATCACATTGATTTATCAGTCTACTCAGGCTTTAGCAGAGCTCAATAACACAGATTAATAACTGATCATCACATTGATTTATCAGTCTACTCAGGCTTTAGCAGAGCTCAGTAACACTGAGATGAATAACTGATCACATTGATTTATCAGTCTACTCAGGCTTTAGCAGAGCTCAGTAACGCTGAGATTAATAACTGATCATGACATTGATTTATCAGTCTACTCAGGCTTTAGCAGAGCTCAGTAACACTGGGATTAATAACTGATCACATTGATTTATCAGTCTACTCAGGCTTTAGCAGAGCTCAGTAACACAGATTTGTAACCGATCAATACATTGATTTATCAGTCTACTCAGGCTTTAGCAGAGTTCAGTAACACTGAGATTAATAACTGATCAACACATTGATTTATCAGTCTACTCAGGCTTTAGCAGAGCTCAGTAACACAGATTTGTAACCGATCAATACATTGATTTATCAGTCTACTCAGGCTTTAGCAGAGTTTAGTAACACTGAGATTAATAACTGATCACATTGATTTATCAGTCTACTCAGGCTTTAGCAGAGCTCAGTAACACTGAGATTAATAACTGATCAACACATTGATTTATCAGTCTACTCAGGCTTTAGCAGAGCTCAGTAATGCTGAGATTTATAACTGATCAATACATTGATTTATCAGTCTACTCAGGCTTTAGCAGAGCTCAGTAACACTGAGATTAATAACTGATCAGCACATTGATTTATCAGTCTACTCAGGCTTTAGCAGAGCTCAGTAACACTGAGATTAATAACTGATCAGCACATTGATTTATCAGTCTACTCAGGCTTTAGCAGAGCTCAGTAACGCTGAGATTAATAACTGATCATGACATTGTTTTATGAGTCTTTATAAGTCCCTTTTCATCCTATTCTGTACCATTACGTACCATTCCATTCTATTTCATTTCATTTCATACCATTCTATTCTATTCTATTCTATTCTATTCTATTCTATTCTATTCAAATACACTACACATACACACACACACAGATTTTCTAAGCCACTTATCCTTCTGGGTCACAGGGGGAGCTGGAGCCTATCCCACTAGTCACTGGGCGGAAGGCAGGATACACCCTGTCGCCAATCCATCACAGGGCAATAACAGTATACAGTGTTAAAAAAAAATAAACACATAAGCAAACATATTTCAGATTACATAGCAACGTTAATGCCAATATCACCCACAGTTTTCTCTGTATCTGCGAAATATCGGCAATAACACACCGATAATTAGTGTTTTTTAGTCACAGTATCGCTGGGATTTGAACTCACAACCCTATGCCGTCTTTCCCTGAGGCAGTGTGGCGATATTTTAACAAATCAGTGCTCATGCATTTTATTGTCATTTCCACCGCCAAGTGACCTACACCATACCCCAGTACCTGTACAGAATTTGGTTACCCTTCTTCCAAGGATAGCAAGTGTGCCATGCTAGAATGCATGAGGGAAACTAGCGATAATGCAAAGCACTTATTGGTCAAACGCAATCGTCACACAAAATTCACGCCGTGTCACTGGAGTCGGATGATCACCATTAAAAAACAAAACACATAAAATCAATTATTAAAAAGGTCAATCAGGATTTGAAGCTCCCCTATTGTTGCTACTGTTGTTCGGGTGTTAACACTAGAATTCATGTGACCACATGAGCTAATTTCACAAATCTGTTATACGATGGGTAACGGACATGTAATCAACTAGGGGTACGGATAGTCTGGGGTCAGATATGTAACCACACTCTGCCGTACCTACCTGTCCGGTGGAAAAACACTGTTACAGTGCCCAATGTAAGGGAACCCCCTCTTTAGATGTATTGTATTGTATAGCTGTGTGTGCGCAATTCTGGCTAACCTGGTCAATTTGACCCCAAGCTTGTATGGTGCTAATTGGTAAGGGTATAAGCTGCTAATATCTGTTAGCTACATTAGCCTTGTAGCTTCAGTGCAAAACTAAGGCAGTGAACTCTGGGTTCCTGGTGGTGCAACTGAGCTGAGTTTACAGCTTGGCAGTAGGTGGACAGTTAGTTTGTTACCATCAGTGGCGACACCGCAGTGGTCGGCGGACCCATCAAGAGTTTAATTTTCCCAACTTTGGCTATGGAATGAACCAGATGTTGTGCCAAATGTTTCAAACCTAGGTGCACCCAATATGAGTACAGGACACCTTGCTGTCGTTTTCCACCTTACACAATCAACACTGCTAAAGCTATCCTCCATTTTTACCAGTGACACCGTCACCATGGCAACATTTTCATGGCTGCATGTGGTACCTGCTATGGGACATGCTTTTTCAGCTCCAATATGTAATCTCAGCAGGGGCACTGGCCATACAGTCGGGAGATTGAAGGGTAAATCTCTGCCGATGCAACATACAACCGCGGCCAGAAAAGCACAACCGGCCTCGCTCTCTCTGGACTCCTCCTTCGTCCAGCACATTTCTAGCTAACACAGAACTACAAACTGGACTTTGACCATAAAGAAAGCGAGTCAGCTCTGCATCCAAAAGAAATTCAGAAGGGCCCCTTTCAGCTGAGTCCAGGTAGCTTCAAAGAAAGAGATGCAGAGATAGCAGGCAGCAGATTAAATTTCTCCCTGAGTTCTGCACTTAAAAGACAAAAGATTCCCAAGAGTACGCCAATGTTCTGTTTGACACTTCTCATTTCGTTCTTCGTACCTCTTCCCTGTTCTCTTCTTCTCTCACACAACGTGTCCGTGCCAGGCGAGTTTAAAAGCTATTAACAGCGAGAGCAGAAGTGGACACTTCAGAAAGGCAGACAAGGCCAAAGAGGGAGGGAGAGAGAGAGGACGGGAGAGGAGAAGAGGTAGCTGAAGAGGGAAAGAGCCAAGACGAGAGAAAACCAATCAGTCAGACAGACAAGAAGAGAGCGAACGGAGCAGATTCAATTCATCCCTCAGACAAGACTGATCAAACACTTCAATCAGCTGTCGGCTCTCCAAGCCGAGGGGTTTGCGCTCCGAAGCAGATGCGGCTAATGACCTGGACGCTACTGCCCAGGATCATCTCAGCATGACAATCAGCCTACGACGCTAGGAAAGTGTTTGCAGCAATGTTTGTTCCATCAACCATCTAGTGGTGCTTTATTGGGCTACAATGGTTTCCAGAAACCAAAGCGTGGTTGGAACGGACAGATAAACAGATTGCATTGAAAGCAGAGGCTCATGTGTGATGCTCCGTTAATGACCAGTAGTCCAAAGGGAACACTATTAGCTGCATTCCCATTGAGAAGGGAATGGACAGTACAGGATCGATGCAATGGTTGTTCGCAACTTACACAACTGCATTAGCGACTAGCCTTCGCCTCCAAGAGCTAAGGCAATGCTGGACTTCACTGGATGTTGCAGGAATTTACAGATCTCAAAATCTGGAGATAATAATAGAGACAATAACGTGATTTATGAAAATCGGAAGTTTAGAATAAACATCAGCTGAGCCGTGGATACGGGGAGTCTACCACACCACCTGTAGAGCCCATTTTCCTCATTTCTCCCGACTTGCACTGTTGTGTTGAGTTCCATCTTGGTGGCCTTGGACTGAAGGCTGTCAATCACGCACGCTTATCAGAACATAGGACCACACCCAGACAGCTCTGATCAGCGTGTTTTACTATATTTCTATCTTGTGCATTTTCACACCTGCGTGCCAGTGGTCTCCTGGAAGCAGCGTCCGAGTTGGCTCTTGGAGGTCACTGGCTGGTACTGCAGGAAGGTTTGCTGGTTAGGGTATACGACACTGTGGCTGTGGTGCTGGATCTTTTGGCTGCTGCTGCTACTGCTGGAGCTGCTGCTTTCGGACATGTGGTAGCTGTACGAGTGACCTGACTGCGACGTCTTTGAATGGCCGCTGCTGCTGCTGTCCACCTGGGACACCTGGTGGATCTGTACCGATGCTTCTGGGGGATGTTTCACATGGATGTTCACCAGACCTGGAGAGAGAGAGAGAGAGAGAGAGAGGCAGAGTAATCAGTACCTCTCCAAATGAATCCGCAGGTCAATTGTACAGCATATCTGCAGTGAATGTCTCACAGGTTCTGCATCAAATGACAGCAAATGTAGGCACAGAGTGAAAACACTGGAAAGAGAGAACCACAGATCATCTTAACAGTCTTTCAAATATCTTCACCAAGAAAAAATGAACATGTATCTCAATTTTTCCAATATTTATTTTTCTACATCACTTGCTTTTTAACATTTAATGTTAAGCACGTTTTTGTCTTGTCCTGTAAAGTTACTGTTTTGGTGATACGTTTTATTTTTGCACAGTGACAATTTACAAAAAAATGACATACCCTGGTTCTGGCCTGAGCTGAAGGTCAGCGGGAGTGTGTGTGTGGAATGGACTTGAGCACCCTGGCCGTTCACCACTGTCTGTTGCCCCCGGTGGCCATTCTGGGCCGGCATCTGGCAGAACTTTCCGGTAAAGTTGGGCGGGCACTGGCACTTATCTCTTGCACTACATTTCCCTCCATTCATACAGGGCAGGTGGCAAACCACTGTAGCAACAGAACACATACACAAACATTTTCAACTCAGAAGCTAATGGGACACATAACATTTTATCTAATCAAATGATCAGTTAGAGTAGTAAATTTATAGTCTAACAGTCTTTAGAGCAATGCTACTGAACCAACAACAGTCCAAAACAATTCAACACAATACAAAATACATAAACATACACCAGCACTGTTTGGCCTTAATTTTGCTACATGTTTGTTTTTGGACACAGGGTCGTACACCAGGTCGTACACAATCGTACACATCTGGGTTCGATTCCCCAGCTGGGCGACCAGGATCCTTTCTGTGTGGAGTTTGCATGTTCTCCCCGTGTCTGTGTGGGTTTCCTCCCATGTCATGGTCCAAAGACATGCAGTCAGGCCAACTGGACGTGCTAAACTGCCCCTAGGTGTGAGTTTGTGTGAGAATGTATATGTCTGTGGACTGGTGAGCTGTCCAGGGTGTATCCTGCCTTTCACCCAATGACTGTTGGGATAGGCTCCCGCAACCCAGAAGGATAAGCGGCTTAGAAGATGTGTGTGTGTGGGTCATACACCATATGTATTACACGAGTCTGCTGTCAGAACAAAACCTCACATCTCCATTTTTGTCATTTTGTACTTTTTTACACAGTTTGAAAATGCAAGCTGACCTTTACAATGTTCCGAAATTTCTTGATGAACAAACGAACAGAAATGCTCCAAAAGTGCTTGGAAAAAAATCTGGTTCCATCAACATCCATTCAAAATGAAGAATGTTTTTTCCCTTTCCTGTAAAGTTAACATTTTATGTTTACTATTTTGGAGATACAAGGTTTTTTTCCAATAGCAGAGATATGTAATAATAAAATACTCCATATGTACTATGTATAGTACTGTTTGAAAGTCAGACATCACCATTTATTTATTAATTTCGAGTCAAAAAGGCCATGAAGTAAGTTATTCATTTTTTAATGTCAGGAGAAAAAAAACATGTTTCACAGGAAATTAGACCAAAGCCTCAAAAGCTAAATACAATATCATTTTTTCAGTACGTGTCCACATTTCGCCGTTATTACAGCTTTCCTTCTTTTCAGGTGACCTGCTTTCAGTTTCTCAAAGAAATCTGCAAGAACATTTTTCCACACCTCCAAAGTTCAGTCTTAGAAGTTGGTTGCATTTTCTGCTTCTCACCACCCAAGTATCCCAAAACCATTAAAGGATGATGAGGTCTGTAGGTTGTTCTGAGAACAACAGCTGCTTCATTGTTTCATTTACAAATTTTCTTCTTTTTTTGTCCTTTTCCATCTCAGTAATAGCTTTGTGACAGCTACACAACCTTTCAGACCCACCATGTTGTGTTGTGCTCTTACAATGTATTAGACATGCAATAATACAAGTTTTTTTTTGGGTGGGGATGCCGCAACCATCAAGGCATTGGCCCTCATCAGGAGATTGCGAGTTTGATCCCTGGTGATGCTACAGCCATCCGTGTCCGGGAGTCCAAGAGAGCACAACTGGCCTCGCTCTCTGGGTGGGTGGGATGGCCTGGCCTCTCCCTCATCACCCAACTGCGATGCTAGTTATAACATAACAGATCTGGCGTTTGGCGCTTTCCTCCGAGCGCGTTCAGCTGTCCAAAGATGCAGCGTGAGCGGCAGCTCGAAAAGATGCAGTAGCTGATTTCACAGGTCTCTGAGGAAGCCTGTGTTAGCCTTCGCCCTCCTAGCACTGGTAGTATCATTTGAGTGGGGGAGTCCTAACTAGTGGGTGGAATTGGAGACGACTAAATTGAGGAGAAAATCCAAAAAAACAGAAATAAGAATGTAGCCTTAGCCTCAGTAACCAATAAGGAATGGGTTTGCCTTACTGCTTAGAATATGCAAACAAAGTTTTTGCAAAAAACCTTCCATTTTGTTGATCCTGCAGGTCAACCCAGTTTTGCAATAATCAGGACTTTTTTGTCTTGAAAATGTACAAAAACACACACACACACACACACACACACACACACACACACACCCCACGCTCATTAGCTAAATTCCGATGCTGGAGCCTGACGTCTGCTCTGAGAAGACAAAACAACTGAACAACTGGTGCGTTCACGGTGTGTTTGACATTTGGTGAGGAGCTTGCAGTGTATCAGGCCTGGCTGTTCTCCACCACTCTGTCTCCATTCAGTGGATTCCTCCTGGTGAACGTCTGGGCATTTCTCAGCAAACAACAAACACACAAAACAGCACGCCAGAGAGAGACAGCGAGAGAGAGACATACAGAGAGAGAGAGAGAGAGAGAGAGAGAGAGAGAGAGAGAGAGAGAGAGAGAGGGAGAGATGCACCGAGACCCTGTTGCCCATCAGAACAAAGCTCCCATTGTTTGGAGAAGACGGTCTGAACCACAGCCCTTACCCACTCCACTCTCGAAATGCCGAGAGAGAAAGAGAGAGAGCGTCAGAGCGAGAGAGCATGCATTTGTGTGTGAAAGTGCATGTGTGGGCTTTTCCCACCGGGACGGCGCACATTCTGATTTCCACACTGCTTTTCTGTCCTGTGCTAGCGTGCCTACCTCCAGCTCAACAGCCTGACCCTGCCTCTACACACCCAGCAATCCACTCAGCTAACCGCACACAATTACCCAATTGAGCAAGAGACAACCAGTAATCAACCTCCTCCAGCTCTGGATTCTAAAGACTCATGTCAAACAAGGACAACAGACCTGAATGCTAAGCAAAGTCACATGCGTGTCTCTCCACGTCTATGAAAAGTGGGCCTTTTCTGTCCTTCCTATGCAACATACTGCCACTCTTTTAAGACAACCTTGTAAATGGTCATTTTTACAGGAAAAAGAAACACAGTTTTTCTCCACCGTTTAGTCATGGCCCACTCCCACCCACTCACTAGGTCTTCACTTATCCTAAAGCTGGGTGGGTGAAGGTAAGCACAAGCATCCTTCAAGATATGAGGCACCAACTAATACAATGTCCACGGACAGCTCGACATACTTGGAGGAGAACGCTAACCGCCAATTCTGTTAAAACAGCCACATATTGTTGTCCAGCATCACAGTGGGAGAGAGGGAGGGCCATCCTAGCCACCAGAAAGCAAGACCAAGTATGTTCTCCTGGTTACAGATGGCTGTGGCATCGAAGGAAACATTCCTAACTTTAAAGTAAAGCAAATGGTGTGTCAAATGATATATCGGTTGGCCAATAATAGCATCACACAAGATTACTGCTATCGTCCAATAGTGGATGTAGCATGTGATGCGCCTTTTTTGTCGCAGCACTGCCAGAATTAAAAATCTTCCCCCAGTTATAAAGAATATAGATATTGCAATGGTGGGGGGGAGGGAAGCAACTCAGAATGCATTGTGCTCCTGATTTCTGTTTATCTTATCCTACCTATCGATCTTACTTACATTAGTTCTCTACATAAGAAACGTTATCTGTTTTAGTCTGGTACTAACATGATAGGACTGCGAGTTGCTCATCTGAGTTTAAGACGTGTGATAATTGAGAACTGACAATCATATCAGTCAGTAAAGCACTGTTTAGCTAAAACTACTGGAGTATGAAAGTATTAAATTAAATTAGAATATGGAAACAGGGGCTCCGAGTGGCGCACGCGTCTAAGTGTTGGCCCTATCGTCAGACCGATCCCTGGTGATGCTAAAGCCAACCGTGGCTGGAGGACAACTGGATTTCTGGGTGGGTAGGATGTCCCCCCGTCTCCCCCCCATCACTCAGCGCTATGCTAGTCAGCGCAGGCGTCTGTTAGCTGACGTAACAGATCTGGCGGTTGGCGCTTTCCTCCGAGCGTGTTTGGCTGTCCAATGAAGTTGCGTGAGCGGCAGCTCGAAAAGATGCGGTGGTGCTTCACAGGTCTCGGAGGAAGCCTGTGTTAGCCTTCGCCCTCCTAGCGCTGGTGGTGTCGTGTGACTGGGGGAGTCCTAACTAGTGGGTGGAATTCAATATAACTAAATTGGGAGAAAAATCCAAAAAAAAGAGAAAACAGAAACTGAAAATTATGATAGACTAGTATAATAATCTGCTGATATTATCAGTTATCTGAATATTATATTTTCAGCCACTTATAATCGTTATCGGCCACAAAAATCAGTCAATCACTCAATATAATGAAGGACTGATGAGCTGAAGCTGGTATTGGATGGTAACTAAATAATAGGCTTCCATTTAGAAATGGTTAAGATAACAACTTCACACACAGAACAATCACAATGTATGATTTGTTTATTTGTATTTATGTTATTGTAACTGTTTAGAATATTTTTAGAATATGCTTCCTTCTCAGACAAACACCTTCACATATCATTTTTAATAAAAGTATAAACAAAAGTTTAATCAAATTGAAACAAGTTTTGTTGATTTTATAAGTGAAAATAAGTTAACATATCCAATAAATATAACATATAAAATGTCTAATAATTTTTGCACATTTTATGTGCACCACATTTTATTAATATTGGGTGGTGGATCATTCTCAGCACCGCAGTGACACTGATGTGGTGGTGGTGGTGTGTTAGTGTGTGTTGTGCTGGTACGAGTGGATCAGACACAGCAGTGCTGCTGGAGTTTTTAAACACTGTGTCCACTCACTGTCCACTCTATTAGACACTCCTACCTTGTCAGTCCACCTTGTAGATGTAAAGTCAGAGACGATAGCTCATCTGCTGCTGCAAAGTTTGTGTTGGTCATCCTCTAGTCCTTCATCAATGGTCACAGGACGCTGCCCACATGACGCTGCCCACAGGACGCTGCCCACAGGACGCTGTTGGCTGTTTTTGGTTAGTGGACTATTCTCAGTCCAGCAGTGACACTGAGGTGTTTAAAAACTCCAGGAGTACTGCTGTGTCTGATCCACTCAGACCAGCGCAACACACACTAACACACCACCACGTCAGTGATACTGCAGTGCTGAGAATGATCCACCACCCAAATAGTACCTACTCTGTGAGGGTCCATGGGGGTCCTGACCACTGAAGAACAGGGTAAAAGGGGGCTA